GACGACTCATTGCATATAAATGACGATAATTATAAATTTAGAATCTGTTAACACTTGGATAAGAACACGTTGGATGATTACTCGTAGTAAAATAAAGGATAAAGTTGATTCTTTTGAAATTTGATATCACGTGTAAACGCGATCAAGGATAATTATTCATATTTTTGATTAGGATTAGATAATTGAAAAAAAAAAAAACAAAAAAAAATAGAAAAAATATAAAAACCGATTAGAAGTTGTCAGAAATAATACGGTTATAATCTCGTCCTGTACTGGTACAAGTAAGAGCAAGCAAGATTCACGATCTCGTGATTCCGAAGTATAAAGAACGAGTCGGAGAACCACATTCCAAAGACGATAAGCGTGTATTCCCTTTATAATGAGCATGGGGTTGGGAATTATTGTTGTTTTTTTCTTTTCTATGACTTTTTAATATCGATCTAATTGTTAATTATATCGAATTTTATTCTTTATTAAGATTTCTTGTATTATTTTTTTTTTTTTTAATTTTATTCCAATTCAATTTTTTATTTTCTTGTTAATATATAACAAGAAAAATTTATATCGATAAATGATTAATCACATTTTATTATTTTTATTATTTATTGTTTTTTAATATAAAAAAAAAAAAGGTAAAGAAATATTTTCGAATAATTATCACTCGATATTCATTATATTTTTGATAGGTCAAAGACTCGCGCTTAAGTATGCAAATAAGTAAATACAATGGGACTATTCTCAACGATTCAGAATGCTTATCAAACATTGGAATTTATTTTGAGTCATTCATTCTGTTAGTATAGTCAGGAAATAAGCTTTAATATTGAAGTATCGCAATATGATGTAACTAAATTTATAAATCTTATATTAGATCCATTTACAACATATTGACATTTACAAAAGAAAATCATATAAATTACATCGAATCTTTCGTATTGAAATTAAATCGAATTCGAAATTGACAAAATAATAATAGTAATAATAATATTATTTAATTTAGAATAAAATCAAGGGATTCAATTTTTGCATCCTTTTAATTTGTACAAATTGCATGATTTTGTGGTTTTAGTCATTAACGCGATACTTAAACTTAAAATGATAAAACGTGAGTCATCGTTGGTTTGAAAGATAGTATTAGAGAAACAACGTATTTCCATATTCGGTGTTAGTTGAGCTGTGATTATTAAATAGCAGCAAAAGCAATAGCAACAGCAACAACTTCTCTCACATCAGTGAAAGAGAAGAAAGGCAAAAGCTTTCGTGTGTGCCGGCAGTACCGTTCTTTCTTTCAACTCCCAAGCCGCAGGAATGTTCAACGATCGGGATTTTAAAGCGAGAGGAACGAATACGAAGAAGAAATTCCTACTTAACTTTTTTTACTCTTTTGCAATTAGCAAATAAAAAAGCTCTAACGCGAAAAAATAAATTCAATTTGTACGATAATTTTTAATTTATCATTCATTTAATATTCGCTTTTTTTTCTCTTGTATTTTTTTTTTGTTTAAATAAAAAGAATAAAATTCCTTGTCGTATTCGTTAAATCAAAGAGATCCAGAAAAATAAGCTTCCATTTTTGGACTTCCGGAGTGTGTTCTGAGGCAACCCACGATACTTTTGTTATCCGATAAACAGATACCGAATGGTGGTACGACGCCCTAAGTTCGTATTAAAACATCTGAGAACAATCTTGAAACTCTTATAAATAGTTTCATAGAATTACTAAAACTTTCTTTAATTTTAGGTGTTAATTTTAAACAAATTTCTAAAAGTTATAAAGAATGAACAAATATTTGTTCATACTAACAAATCATAAGGGAGAAGATACTCAAATAAAAATAAATTTCTATTAGTTTATATTTTAGTAATTATTATAACGTATATTATTAACTTTTTTATTTTCAGATGTTTCTTTACGATAAGAACTCAACATATTGTAATAGAAGAAGAGAAAAAAGGGAAAAATAGAAGACAAAAGATAATATCTTTAGAACCGTTGGAACTATCCATAGGAAAGAAGACTTCGTAAGGCTCATCGAATGAGAATATAAGAAAAAGAAAAAAAAAAAAGACGAAGAAGAAGAAGAAAAGCGAGAAGGAGGTGTAACCATGGCCGGCAAGTTTTGCGAGGGACGCTCCCTTCTTCGGCAACTAGGTCTCATTTTAATTCCCCCTTCGAAACCAGAAAGAGAAAGAGAGAGAGAGAGAGAGAGAGAGAGAGAGAGAGAAAGAAAGATAGAGAGAAAGATAGAGAGGATCGGCAAGCAGCTGTCGTCGTTTGTGGCACGTATATTCTAGCATATCTACACTAATACTATTACCAGTCTTCTTCTAGAGTCAACTTTAGGAGAACGAATCCTTGAAGTCCTCGGTTAAAACACGCGACCACTTGAAAAAGAAAGTCCATCTTCTACGTGGAATTTTCAAATTTTACCGCTCGTTTCTTCTTCAACAAGTGCCAACATATATCGATTTGATATTAAAGATATTATTTCTGATATTATTTATCTTGGAAAGAGATAAAATGGCAGTCGTGAGACTTATTTTTAATGAAAGATTTTTTGTCAAGGATCGATCCATTTGCCTGTTATCGTTTGAGAACATTTGTTGAGTTAATTAATCTATTATATTAGTAATATTATTACCATACAAAGAAGAAAATGTCGAACGTAAGATTTATTTATTTATTTATTTATTCTATTTATTTCAATTAAAGAATTCTTATTTGCTTGTTTGTGTGTGCGTGGTATTATTTGAAAAAAAAAAAGAATGTTTGTTTCAATCTGTTAGCACAAGCAATACATTCATCGAAACGAAAAACCTTTGAAGAAATAAAATTTCAGATAAGAGAACATAAATTCACGAAATTCGTTGGTGGAGATAACACCGTTGACGAAAATGTAATACAAAGGTGTGCGAGAGAGCCGCGCCCGCGCGAGTATTCGGTGAGTAGGTCACGAATCGACATTTTGCCGGAATGATGAGAGGGTGGTTTAGGTAGAATATAGGTTGACTGGGTCAGGGGTGAAAATCGGTGTCTCTAGGGAAGGAAGATTATGTGGAAATGGTATTGAAAAGTGGTGGTAGTGGTTGTGGGTGGATCAGGCGTTACCTTTCTCTGCGCTTCCGCTGCAAAACCGGATTTTGTAGCCCTGTGACTGGCCATGATCCTTCGAGTCGAGGTCGTTCACCGACGAGGAGGACCAACAAGGACGAGAAACTTTAGAAAGATTTTTTCCTTTCTTCTTTATTTTAGATTATTATTATTATTATTATTATTAATATTTGATTTTCCTTTCCTTTCCTTTCTTTTTCTTTAGTTTAATTTCGTTTAATTTTCTATTTCGATTTTTATTTATCAATCAAAACCGATTGTAGATCCTTTTTTTTCCCTTTCTTTCTCACTCTTTTTCTTCGTAGACACGATGTGAAATATGCGAGCAAAAAAAACGAAGTTAACAATTCGACGGTCGCGGCTCGACTGAAGCGACGCTGCCGAACCAAGGCGAGTGCAGGACTCGTGCCTTTTCTCCGGCGCCGATTGGTCGCTATGCGCGCGAGTATTGAGTTTTCGAGTGACACGTGATCTCCGTTCTCCAGTCTTGCTCCGGAGATGACGTCAGCAACCGGCTGACAGCGAATTCTTTGGAACGTGGATATGATCCTTAATACGAAAACTTTTACATTTTGCTAGAACTTAGCTTTGAACCCCTTAGATAGAGACATCATTTTTAAATAGGATCCCTCAATCCTATTTTAAATATCTTTTGGTAAATGCTTTTTTGTTGTTCTTCTAATTTTTAATAAATCAACATGTATAAAATAGCAACTCCAGGTTCTGATTTAAATCGATTACTGTTTCTAGTCATTTGCACGAACTCAAGATTAAGTGCATAAGAAAAAAACATTACTGATCGGTTTGATCGAGAAAAATGACGTCATTGCCTGTTGAATTCTTTACATATTGAATCTTACTACCTCAATCTGAGAGCTTTCCATCACGCCCACGAATCTTACTTTATTCCTACCATAGGTGGTCCTGACAAGTACATGACATAATTGGAATATTTCACTGTCGTATATACTTATCCTATTGTTTCATATTTTGTTGATTATTTTATTATATTTTAAGCCAGAACATTTGTTTATTTTAACGCGTTCCATAATCGGTTGTATAAGTTAATCAAAAACGTTCGAAATGTGCGAATAAGCACACGCGGGATGACTCATTAGCGATGAAGGACGTATTTCGTTTTAAATTGCAGAACCGTATACGGTTTTACATTGTAACATTCTTGACTAATTGAGCAAAAATGAGTAATACCAAAAAAATAAATTGAAAAATAAATACTTTTATATACATATTTTTTCATGTTAAATAGTATATAATTTATTTATTTTCATTTTATTTTCATATTTATTTTTATTATTTATTTAATGGAAAATAATACTGTTTTATTTTTTTTTATAGATCAATTTTTTTATGTAAAATAGCTGTCAGTTCATAATATTTTTTATATTCATTAATGGTAGATTCATTTTTTACCGACTAATAAGAATTAGTAGATTCCTGTTTTATCGATTGGTCTCTAAAACAGATATCCACTATTATCGACACGTCGGTTAAATAAAAATCTACTACTTCTGACAAGTCGATAAAATAAAGATCTATTTTTACCGATTCATCGATAAAACATAGCATTCTTCTTTTAACAATAATAAATATAAATATAAAGATATAACAAAACCTAAAATATAACAATTAAGGATATCGTTATCGTTTATAGATACATATTTACTTGGAAAATTATCAATTACTGTGTAATTCAATGTGTACTATTTGAAGTAATTTCAAAATTATAATATAAATTTTAAGAAATCTTTGATAATCAACATTTAATTTATATGTAAAAAAATTGAAAGAATTTGTATTTTTTAAAATGATATGATTGAACCAGATCATTTAATACGTCCCTGACTCCTTTCCCCCTCGTTCGAAGGGAGGTGCGGCTTGCACCGGAAAAAGCCTGGAGGGGCGTCTTTAGTAGGACGTTGCTTGTATTATGTGCCTTTAGGTCGGACTATATACAGTCCTGTTTCACTGAAGCGATAGCCGCGCGCGTAACACGCTTGAGTTCGCGTTTGAGTTTGCTCGTTTTATCGTTCAGATAAAGACGATAATCGTTGATGTTCGTGGAAGCTAAGAAAAAAAAAAAGAAAGAGAAGTAAAGGAATTAAAAAGAAAAATTTGATTACTCACGCGAACGCGGTGCAACGTTCGAAAAATATAAATCGCCGCATGCGTGAAATGTTATTCGTATTTTCATAATCAAAAGTGATATTAACTTCCGGTTGTCGGGGAAAAAAAATAAAAATGAAAGAAGGGGCGCGAAAATCGGAGATCACGATAAACATTGTCAACTGATTCTCGATATTTCATCAAATGTGATGATAAGTTTGGTGAGGAAGAAATCATGTTCGATCCGGTCTCCGAAGAAGAGAAAAAACGTTTCTTTAGACAGAGTTACGGTGCTCATTTACCAGGGTAAGATAGAAATATTGTTCACTTCTTTTTTAAATATTTTTGGTTTGGTATTTATCAATTTTATACTTTAATTATCAATGGAATTATTTAATACTAGTTTCTATTAATAACTTAAATACGCTGATAATCGTTGCCGTTCAACTTTTACATATATACATACATACATATTCGTGAAAGAAATGTTTCTCGGTATTATATAGAAAGAATCTAGCGTGTTATCGATTAGTCTTCTTTCATTCACCCCAACGAAACTTCTAAGGTTTTTAAGAGGGTACGTTAAAACGTTATTGATCCTCGTTCATAAAAACATTTCTTAAGGATTACGTAGATCGAAGATTATTCAAGAATACTGAGAAAACATGATGGTTTCTCAAAGACGATCGTTTAAAACCAAGTCATAAGCAGATCTAATTAAATTTGCAAGCTGATTAACGCCAATACTAAAGTTGTCTTCGACGGAATACACATACGTTGCATAACTTATGCAAACAATACCGAGTATCGAAGTTACAATTCGACGTATGCATCATTATCATTGCGCATCAACGAAACGAAACGTTTATTCTGATCCAAACAACGAAAAATAAACGTATCGTTTATATAAACAAGTTGAAATCTAATTAAATCTAAATTTATTAGAAAAATTGTATAAATTATGTGATAATGATTTATTAAATAATTAAAGTTTATATAAAGTATTCCTGTAAAAAATATAGCGTTTAACTTAGAAATAATAAATCGAAGTAACTAATATCAACCTTGATAAAAATAGATAAAAGACTGATCTAAAAGAGTGCTCGTACTTTTACTCTTATGGAAAGTAACATAGGTTACTTACAAACACGATAACGGTGACTTTCTATAGAACCGTATTAGTGTGCGGATGTCAAACGACATATCCGTAGAATATATAATAGAACGGGTCTGTGTATCTCTCATGAGACTTGATTACGTGATCAACGATCGAAGATGATCATCTAAAACTACAACACGTACTTGGATCTCTTTCTTATTTTCATTTTATTTCTCAAGATTTACACGATTCTTTTTCTATCACTTTCCAAGAATGTTTAAACGTCAAAAACGGTCTGATTACTTTGAGAAAGGTAACAACGATTTCATCGATGGAACACAATCTTGGATTATACGGTTTCTGAGTAAGAAACTTCGACGCGTCGGACCGTGAAGATTCATTTGAAATTTTCTATTATTCTCTTCCTCAATCTACTTTATTTTCATAATTTATTTCAACGAGAAAGAAAAGAATTACTTTATATAGATTTGCATATGTTCCGAAGAAAACACCTTGACCTCAACCTCGAAAATATATTCCAGTAACCCAATTAGCAAACGTGTTAATCGTATACAATCAATCAAGGTGATCGTACCGCAACGATAAATACACAAGTACCGATAGTATAACTAGGTCTTTCCAATTTGCAACAATTGTACCTTACAAATCACGCTAAATACGTCGTCGTATTGTCCTCTTCTATCTTGTCCTTGAATCAAAGATTAAATGGAGTGAGAATTAGATCGCGAGTCTAACCCTTGACACATGCATCGGGAAAGTATCGACCAGAGAGGAGTGTGTATCGTGAAGCTGGTACCAAGACTGGTACCGAAACACTTTACACCCCTTAGAACCAACCACGCAAAGGTAAAATACGCGCGAAACTATCCAGCTTATGACGTTTTGCATCGAAATGTTTATCCTAAACTGAGATACCTATCCTAGTTCTATTAAAATCGATCCTTGGAAAAACAAAAACGTTCAAGATCAATCAAATTTTTAAATAAAAATAAAAACAAAAAGCAATAGTTTGATGAGTTAATTAAATAAGGAAATCTTTTTTTATAAATAATAGGAATAATTGTACGAGAAAATAAAAAATTCGACGAGTTTGAATGGAATTGAAAATTATTTGTAGTAAATTTATAAAAAGTAATAGGGACACATTCGTTATAAGATAATAATTTATCGTTTAACAAAAAATAAGGATTTAATTGAAATTATTAGTTAAAAATAATCGTATCGTTGAAATACGATTTCGGTGTAAGAAAAATCTGTTGACAGATATTGATACGTTCGTGAATCTAAAAGACCGCTCCAGTAATAACCTAGATCGATTTCGTATCGATCTCAGAGTATCACGACACACGTCGATCATATATAAACGACTTTCTGCGATACACGCTAATAGTCAATGCACCATGACCGTCACAGTGTGAGCTTACCCATCTGGTAGTAGTATACGAGTAGTAGGTCACCGGTAGTGTACATTTTTACGATCCGTTACTTCAATGAGCCGATGATGGTATCGTCATCCATTGTATTATATTTTATATCTCTAACAGAAGATCAAGATCGTATTCAAAATGATCTTATAAACGAATAAAGATAATAATTATTTGTTTGACATCTTTATTATATTTTCTCAGATACACAGGTCATTGCCCAACACTTAAGTTTAGAGTTGGGAAAAGATTTGGAGCTAACACGGAAGAAATAATGAGGGTGAGATTGATTTGATTCGAAATTTAATTATATTAAATTTACCAGTCTGTAAATATCTATAGTGATTTTTCTGTAAAGATATTTTTTAGATATTAATTTAATTAAAAATTAAATGCGTAACATATTATATTTAATAATTAAGAAATTATATTATATATAGAGAGACAAGGAGTATAAATATTTTGTAAATCTATAGATCCAAATTTCTCAATTTATTCGTTTTAAATGAAAATAATGATTAAAAATTGATCTAGCAATACAGAACGCTTGATAGATCTAATATAAACAATATTTAAACCATGAAATTCTAGCTTAAAAAATTAGTTTCGTTTGAAATTCTTTCTTACACGTTTATAGGAGCTGTTGGAAAAGAAGATTTTGAAGTCAGGGCCTTATAGGCCGAATTCCGGTAAGGACGTTGCGCTCGTTACGATACCGAACGAGAAGGACATTAGAAGAGATTGGAAGAATGACGCACACTTGTATAAATCACCGCCATACATTTTAGGATACACAGGTAAAAAAATTGAAAAAAATAACTATTAAGAAAAGTGATAACAATATTGTCACATCTTTTAAACAATTATAATATTGTTTAATTTTAAAAATTCACAAATAAGATTCTACGGATACGTTTTTGAAAAAATATCCTGTAAGAAAATAGAAAAAAAAAGAATATTAATTTTTATGAACATCTACAATAAAATATTTTCTTAAAACAATAGAATTGACACGTGTAGTATCCTATGACTGGAGAATAAAACCATTTAAATTTGAATCTTTAGGATATATACCTGGCTTTAACAGTAGTTATGGTCTTCCCTTTATGAGGGCCGTCGAAGAGGGTGCAAAAGAATGGCACGAAGTTCAAAGTAAATTAAGAGCACGTATGAGGGCACAGGCTGAAAGGACTAATTCAAGAAATCTTTTATCACGTGTCAGAGCAGACAATGTTGCTGTTGAGATCGATCATGGTCAAGAACGGGAACGTGTTATTTTTGGTAAATTTCAACGATCATTCATTCTCTTAATTTTTAATCAAACAATTTTACTCCGCGAAGAGTTTCATTTTATTTTATTTTTTCTTTTCTACAGATTGTACGGTTTCTCCAGAAAAACCACCGATCGTTGGTTACACAGGACACATTCCTGGAGCAAAAGGTGAAGTTGCACTTTCTAAAAGATACGCTCAAGCTGTTAAAACGGGTTTAGAATCAGTAAGAAAAGAGCGTGAACAAAGACTGAATAAATTAAAGGATGTTCATCCTGTTCAAAGGGTACTCGATGCTGCTTGCGTCGATGAAACTGGTCATACGAGAGCATAAAAAAGCAAAAGAAAGAAAACAACAATTCTATAATATATTTTAGGAAATATATGTATTATAATCTTTATCTTTGATACAAGGATTAGGATTTTGAAAAGAAAACAAATATTAAGAAGAAACTACATAAAAGTTAGTAAATTTTCACTTACAAAAATGGTAAGCATATCTCTCTTCTTATATTTTTATTCTATATATAAATAAATAAATAAATATTATATATATGTCAAGAGCTTCTATAAAATATTGATTTTATCAATAGTATCTTGGCTATTAAATATTAGCCGCAATACGTACTTAAAATTCGTGGATCGATACTCTTATGCCAGCAAAAGTGGATCAAGTTATAGATCATGCCTTATCCATTTTAATGTGAGAAATAAATGAAATATTGAGGAAAAAATAACGTGATAAATGATAGAAACAATAAAATTATAGTTGTTTTTTTCTTTCTTTCTCGACGAAAAGTGCAACAATTATTCTTATATCAAACATAAGTACTTACTGTCCTTTTCTCTATCATCGCACTTCTATCAAATAGAATACTATATCTATATCTATATATCTATATATATTTATTATATGAAATAATTAGAATAGCAATGTTCTTTTATTTTCGAAAGCTTCCCAATTCTCTTCTCTAAAGAATTTTCAAAAAAGGATACTCAAATAAGCTAGTGATTATGAAAACGATCTAACACATATTTCTTGAGATTTAATAATTTTTCTAAACAATTTTCTAAATAAAAAAATTGCAAGTATCCTATATTTACTATATTTTAAATAATATTTGTAAGTAATTTAAAAATTGTTTAACACGTGTTCCCTATCAAGTTGCATTTGACTAATAATAAGTATCATTAGCACGCTATATGTACCTAAAACGTTACGAGTTATAAGGTTTAACATATCTGCGAAATTGGCCTATTTTATTTCCATTTCTATACTGGAAATTTATTTTTAGGTGTTCGTAAATATTTAAAAAATAATTTAAGCAATATAACAAACGAATATATTTAGTTGGTATAATGAAAGAATATAAAAAATATAATAAAAAATAAAGTATTAAAATAAAATCTATGCAATAGTGTGTATGTAAGAAAATATGTAGTAAATAATATTTATTGTTAATGTTTTTCAATCCCGTTAATTTGTTACTATTAAAATGTTTTACATTTTCTTTATAGCAAGAAATACAACAATATTTGTTTGATGGATTATTATTATCTTTTATTATTAAATGTCGTTTATGCTACTTGATGATACGGATAAATCTTAAATAACGTTTAACAAAATATATCTTTTAATATCTCAAATGACATATAATTAGATCATTTTTATAATCACCGATTAATTTATTAAATTTATATATCAATTAGTGATTTTCTTCTTACCAACGTACTCCACGCCTAAATATTCCGTCCATCTATAATAAATGACTTTGTACAAAAGACTCTAGGACCATATCGAAAAAGAATTCATATATATATAATTTCACCGTCAGTCCTCATTAAAGTATTCATAAAAAGAAACAAGGGAAATTCTTTAAATGTTTTCGTTCGAAAACATTCTAAAAGAATATTATAATAAACGAATGAACAAACGATATTTACGAGCTAATTCCATTTTTCTTTCGTAATTGGATCTCTGAATTCAATATTTGAAAAGTGGAACTTAGCCGTTAAAAGAAAAGAAATTAATGATCACGATAAGTGTCTCATGTTAATGAATAGAATTATAAAAAAATGTTATTTGTGTAAATAAAATTATGAATAAACGGATAATTTTCGTATAAAAATATATATTTTATCTAAAATATTCTTAATATTAGAATTAACGATATATCTGCACATGTTCCAGTATCAATTTATTACAAGTCGAAATAAATAATATTTACAGATCTAATTTCTGAATTTGTAAGATTCTTTCTTATTACTTCTAGACTATAAATAAATTCTGATTTTACAATATCATGCTTTTTAAAAAAGAAAACAGCATGATCATCACTAGTTTCTTTCATGAGGAAAATACTTAAATATTGATTGTTATCACATGTCGCTTCCTTTGAACACTTACTGTATCAAGAATTCCATCAATTTTTAACTCTGTTTCCATCATTAATTGAATATTATAATCAATAGATTCTAAAACCATGCTCTTGACTTCTTGACAAATTACTCAACCGATATCTCGCTATTAAGCATTTAAAAAAATAGAAGTGTTTCTAGTTTCCTTATATAATAAATCTAATATCTTTTTGATTTCATATTCTGTGATAAGAGTATTTAAATATTCTGTTAGATTTCCTTTATTATCAAAACAAATATCATGTAATTTTTTGAAAGTGGAACAAGTCTTGGTTCCTGCTCCAATTAATAATTTATTAGATAACTTATTTAGATCAAAAAGTTCTTTTTCGGCTAAGAAATGACTTAAATACTCTTTTCTTTCATGGAAACATAGTTTATGAAAATTACTTAATATAGAAGCAGCGTTAGTTCCTGACAGAGACAATATTTTGCTTAGATTATAAAACGTGAACTTTGCTTCAATAAAATCATTTAAACATTCTGTTATGCTTCCATCTTCATTAAAGCAAACTTTATGAAAATCTTTTAAAGCAAAACATATATTAGCTCCAGCTCCATGTAACACCCTAGATAAAAGATTTGGTGTAAATCTTATATTAATGAAATCACTTAAATATTTTGTTGGATTTCCTTCATTATCAAAACAAATATCATGAAATTCTACTAAATTATCTGCTCCTTGACTCAGGATGCCGCAGAAATCACGTGGTCTAAAATTTACTTCTGGTTTAAAAAAATCACTTAAATATTTTGTTGGATTTCCTGCATTATCAAAACAAATATTATGAAATTTTTTTAAAATAAATGCAGAGTTAGTTCCTGATGCACAAAGTATGCAAGATAAATGACGCATTTTAAAACCTGCGTTAATGAAATCCTCTAAATATTTTGTTTTGTTTCCATTCTTATGAAAGCAAACTTTATGAAAATCTTTCAAAGCAGAATAAGCTTTAACTCCTGCTCCACTTAAACTACCGGACACATTACTTATCTTAAAACCCACATTAGTAAAATCCTCTATATATTTTGTTGGATTTCCTTCATTATCAAACAATAGATTATAAAGATCCTCAAAAGTTTGTTTAGTTTTACCACCTGTCCCATGTAAAATACTAGATATATTAGATATAGTTATACCATTTTTTTCTAACGTTTGTAGATACTTTGTTGGATTCCCTTCATTGTCAAATAAAAGATTATAGAGATCCACAAAATCTTGTTTGGCTTTTGTTCCTGTTCCATGTAAAATACTAGATATATTAGATAAATTTACACCGTTTTCTTCTAGAGTTTTTAAATATTTTGTTGGATTTCCTTCATTGTCAAACCAAAGATTATAAAGATCTTCAAAAGCTTGTGTTGCTTTAGCTCCCGTTCCACTTAAAATGCTAGATACATTAGCTAGATCTACTCCGTTTTCTTCTAGAGTTTGTAGACATATTGTTGGATTTCCTTCATTGTCAAACCAAAGATTATAAAGATCCTCGAAAGCTTGTTTAGCTTTCGGTCCTGCTCCATTTAAAATACCAGATATATTAGAAATGTAAACTCCATTCTTTTCTAAAGTCTGTAAATATTTTGTTGGATTTCCTTCATTATCAAACCAAAGATTATACAAATCCTCAAAAGATTGCTTAGCTTTAGCTTTTGATTTGCTTAAAATACCAGATATATTAGATAAATTTACCCCATTTTTTTCTAAATTTTGTAAATATTTTGTTGGATTCCCTTCATTGTCAAACCAAAGATTATAAAGATCCTCAAAAGCTTGTTTGGATTTCACTCCCGTTCCACTTAAAATACTAGATATATTAGATAGATTAATACCATTTTTTTCTAAAGTTTTTAAATATTTTGTTGGATTTCCTTCATTATCAAACCAAAGATTGTAAAGAT